AGAGCGTACTCTCAGGGCTGGTTCACTTACAGAGATTTTCCCAAACAGTGTAGAATTCCTAAACTTAACATTAAGCAGCAGAAAAGCTGAATCGGAGGCTGGGATAAGTGCGATGAGAAAGTCAATCCTTCTCTTTTTCATGGTATCACCATGGGTGAGACCGTCTCCCTTAATTTCCTCTGTTCCCTTATTAGTATTGTGAGCATGATACTCTACCATTAGGGGGAGTCAAGGTTAAAATTAGAAACATTTGTGCATTTAAGCTCTTTTCGCAAAAGGTAATATGTAGAGCTTTGACCCTACTGGGTAAGGGGAACATTAACTTACAGTTAAAGGTTCTGATACGAGCAGTCAAGTGAGGTATTAAAATTAATGATAATTACCATGAGCCTAGAAAGTTTTAACTAAATTCTCATTGCAAAATGGTTGGACTTAGAACATGAAATTACTTCATAACCAATTCTTTGGAAAAGAGAAGGGATATAGTAAATAATGAATGTTACAGAAATAACTCTGTAGAACAGAACAGCCCTGTTCCCATACTATATATGGGAAATTCAATATCCGGTTGCTGATTGTGGGCTTCTGTAAGATCTGGTTAAACCATCCGACCTAGGGCTGTGGGAACTGGGATGACCAAACTGCATCAAACGCTAATGATCTGCATAACATTAGCCACTGCACGATAAGTCTTCTGAACACTAGGAAGTGGAGTGCTGCAGCCTTTCACTGGGCAGCTGCAAGAAAGACAGGGTGGGAAGTGATTTTTGAGTGAAACAAGACAGAACTATTATTTTAAAAAGGTAACAATTATTTTTAAGAAGGATCAAAACAGAAAATGTTGCCAGTGGCCTTGTTCTTCTCATATTGCTTTTTTTTTTCAGACAAGTCACAACATAAGCTTTGGTGACAGTTTCCAGGAAATAAATCAGTAGCATCACAGTAAGAAAATGAAGTTAGTCTTACACAGTCATACTCTGGGACCAGCAGCATCACCAGCAAACTGGCTCCTAAGACCGGGTACAGCCCTCCTAATAGATTAATTTATCCTGCTTCTCAACAGAGCTCTGCACTTGACAGCTCTTCACTGCTGACCTAGCTTACTTAAAGCTAGTTTATGTGCCTTTGCACAGTGGACACATACATGTAAGGAAGTATCATCTGCCTTATTCTTATTCTTATTAGGAAGGAACCATAAAAAAGTGTGGTTTTGTCATTTTGGGAGAGAGTTGGCCACCCTCATTGATAACTTTTATGCACATGAGAAATAGGAAAACATCAGAGTATGAAGAGGAACAGTTAATTGAAAATAAAGCAACCCACCAAAGTAATTTTACAGGAGCTTGAACTGTTGATGATGTAGAAATTATGAAAAGAGGCCTATGGTAGGAAGAAATTGCACTTGATGACTTAAAAGATCCCTTCCAGTCTGAATTTCTTAAGGTAGGTGTTATAAGTGGTTGCCATGCCACTCCTACAAGATTTCAAGATTCAAGGCATTGTTCTTTAAGGACCAGGGAAGAAATCCTTCCCACTGTCTATACAACAGCCCCGAGGCTGCAGGGAATCTCTCAGCTCCTGAACTGTAACTCCACAGTACCCACAACAGCCACACAGCAGTAGCTTTACACTGAAGACGAGGGTACCAGACTTGTCCTCTCTCTAAGCCTAGCCTGCCCTGCCTGCCTGTATGCCATCGTGCATACAGAACTTAAGGCTGTCCCAGACTACGATGCACATGTGAGGGGGGTTATGCCTCGTGGATCTACCACATCCTCGCAGATTCCTGACTTGGTCTCCACTGTTGCGCCATGAAAAGGGAAATACGTAGGCAGAATTTCATGGCAAGAGTTTTTCATTCATGCTGTATATGCTGCGAAGGATATCATTAACTATGGTGGACCATGGTCTAATTCTCCTAAAATATGCATTCATCTCTTATTAAACTTAGTGGGAATTATTTGGGTTCACTGAGAGGAGAGCACACAGGTTCTTCACCCATCTAAACTATGGTTCCTTCACAGGCAACAAAATCATTGCTGCTTCTCTTTCAGAACCAGACTACTGACTTGTAAAATTACTGCCTGCAGATTTTCTTTCTTGCAGATGGACCTCATGACTGTATCACACAGCTACTTTAAATGCCGTGCACAACTTATTCCATAAAGCACTCTGGTTTGGAGTTGCAACATTACAGAACTTGGTTATTTTTATATGACAGGGCAAGCTGTACCTCACATTTTACTTTGTCTTCTCCTAGCCAAATTTGCAATTCTCTGAGCTTCTAAATTATCATTAAGACATGTGTTATAATCCTGGTAGGAAATGCACAGATGAGATATATAAGAAAATAATTTCAGAATACAGGACAGTATTTAAAAGCCACTATTTTCCCTTTTGTTTCTAGAATCACAATTTCAGTTAATTCCATGACTGTCTTTGAACCAGCAAGCACTAGTAGTCTTACTGTCTATGATCTGTGGAATTAAACACCACCAACTATTTTCAATTGAGTGTATTAGATATTTCCCTCCTTTTCATGGGTTTGTTTTTTCCCCCCACCGTTCTGGCCATTATTAGCCTTTCTGTTCAGCTCCATCATTGTAACAGAGCATTGCCATTACATCGTTCTTGTAATCCTTTTCTGAGCTATTTAACACAACCAGTTTCCCTTTGGAATATTATATTCTATCTTTGATCCTGTAACTGCTTTTTCCCTCCATCAATGCCTATTAATTGATGTAACATGACCTTCAAAGCAGAGACAGACAAATAATCCATCACAAAGTATATATCCAGTGAATATGCTGGTTTTAAGTTTGCAGAATGTTTGCAAGAGGACACTTTACCTTGTTTTTTATTCATGATTGTAATTTCCCAATTAATTTTTCCACATTTATTTCTTCCGAACAGTTTTATGTAATATTTAGTACTTGAAATCTGAGCTGAGTTGAATGCGATTTATCATATACTAAACAACACAATATTTTTTCCATTACATGATTGAAGGAGCATAGCTCTTATAATCAAGAGGATGCTCTGGCAAAGCCACTGGGGTTTTGAGACAGGTAACTGATGAAGATGATTAGGGAATTTCATAATATTTAAATCTTTTCCTTTTTGACTCACACAGGGCTTCTCCAAAGACATTATGCCTAACGTAATTAAAGCTTTGTAAAATTTACTGTTTGGGTACACATTTAAACTAAATTCTTTATCATTTCCCTGTTAAAAAAAAAAGTGCATAAATAATTCTAATTAAAAGGGTGTGGTCCAAGCATCCTAAAATTCAGCTGAACAGCTTTCTGTCAGGAACTCCAGAAATCCTGCTACTTGTTGTTTGGAACATCATCTCATACTGTGGAAACCACATGGAGTATTGCATTATGTGATTTAAAATTATCTGTCACCCCCATAGTCCTTAATACAAAATACATTCTGTATTTGTTGTATATTTATGAACAGTCCTATTTGCAGAGCTCTGTTGCTCATTTCATACTACTTGTGCTAGTGCTTTGGAGAGTAGTTTTAGGGATCCCAATCTCACGATCTGTCAGTCGATGTATCTTTGCATGTTATGATTCTCCGGATAATGGAATGTGCATGATACACTAGGACTCTCCAAAAGCATGCTCTGACAAGCTTACTCTGTAAGTAACCAAGAAACACTGACGACTGGAAGAAAGATATATATACTTTACAAATTCACTCATTCCACGTGAGATCAACAATTGATTCCTATCATCACCGGAATAACAAGGAAAAAAATTCTACTACTGCACTGTCAGTGTACTTTCATTTTCCCAGTTATTTTTCAATGTGTTTGTTCACTGGAGATGGCATGGTTTCTTGCCATGCTATCTTCAATGCTAGAACTCCCAGCAGATTCAATAACATTGACACATTCACCTATTTCTCAATTTATTTGTTAGAACTAAGGTGTTCTAATTAAATTTATTCTTATTTAAGCAGTTCACCCACTGTACTACAGATGCCTGAGACCACTGAAACCCAACAACTGTACGTGATAACATGCTGCTATTTTATTTCTTTTAACAATTTATTCTTTATGCTTGCTACGTGCAATTAAACTACACCCGTTCTTTCATAAGAGTTGGTTAGAAATATTTTGGATCAAATAATCATTCTGAATACGATACACATCTGTGCATATATTTGTGTGAGAGCACCTGGAAAATCAGAAATTTACATGCCTTCCTGTCCTCAGTGTGCAATAAATGTATCTCTGAGATCAAAATTAAGCTTACTGTTTCAAAACAATGTAAGCTGCTTCTGGAACATAACCTGTTGTTCTTTTTACTGCACTATATTACTAAGAACATTTGTTTAGGACCAGGACCGGGGGGGTGGGGTGGGTGGGGGGGTGGGTTAAAAGTTCATTTACTCCTGCTTGTTGGAAAGCTGAATTCACATCTTGTCCTCCTCATGATATCATGCTCATGCCTCCAGCCTGCTGCTACAAGTGGGAGAACATGAGCAAAGCTTCTGCATTCTTCTGAATAGCCTTAGTAAGAACAAAGAAAGGGAGAGTAAAAAGAAACTGGGTTTATTAGCTGAACCACCTAGAGAAGACATGAAGGTATTTATGAAGATATCTGTGAATCCCCAAATGCTCCTTTATATCAGACATGCTATTCTGATTTCCTTAGAATGACACAAAAACTGTAAAACACTGTAAACAATGTAGCAAAGAGACAAAATTTCATGCACAGTAAACAATGCTCAAATAGTATTAACTTCTTCATACAAAGAAACAAAAACAAGGACACAAATAGCTAAGGGGAAAATATAGGCACTAACCCAAAGCCAATCCAAAGTATGAACAAGCATTTAGAAAGCCGTTGGGGTGGAAGCCCGGTACGATGGATACGGTACTGTGATATCTAGGATAGTAGACTATGAGGGACAACCACGACTGACACATAACAATACTAATTTCTCCTAGCATGATACTCAGTCATTGAAATTAGGCAATCTTAACAAGGAATACATGCCATTTGGGAAATTACCAGGTTGGATGCAGCAGAGGTCTGCTTTATGGAATGACGCTTGCCAAAATTCAGCCAGCTGGTGCGGTTGCTCCATACATAGATTCTGCCTCTATTGACCTCTTCAGTTTATGTCGACGGCTTAGGAAGCTCCTTTTTGTGTTTCCTGTCTGTTTTCTGATAAGCAGCTGCTTTCTTGTCTTTAAGAAGCACCATTTATCTTTTCATTTACTCCCTGTAAAGTTCCTAAATTGCTTTAGCTTGTTATTTAAATTAAAAATTCAGCCTGGATCATGTCATTATGATGAAGCTTTGACAACATATTCTAAATGTAGTTTTGTCATTGTTTTCAGAATGTTTATTGCAGCCATTGAAAAGTATTTCTGAGCTTTACAAAACTGCCTTGAATTGCAAGCTATTTCTCTCATCTCACTGGCTAGAAACTGCACTTCATGCCAATCAACAGAATTTGCAGTGACTTAACCTAGAAAGCCAGGACAGAATTTGAACATTAAAAAGATGCCTCAGATGAATCCTCTCAAAGCAGCAGGATGCATGTCAGGTGTACAGGTAGTCAGGACTGTGTTAGGGTTGATTTTAATACTGGCCATGTATATGCTATTGCTTCAGGGTTCATCACACTGATATGCGTGAATGCATTCTCCTGTGATTTATGATTATCCAGAAAAATCCTCTGCCTGCTGGCCTGAGAGACAGAACTATTTTGGGGAGAGTGGAGACTGCTTTACAGAGACTGAAATAAAGGAAAGAAAAGCCCGCTTAGGTCCTCCGGGAATACTGTCCAATCCTTCACCTTCTGCATTCTCAAATAATTGTATATTGTCTTTTGTATAAACTGCAACTCAGGAATCTTTAGAGAATTAGAAAAAATGCAAGACAAGCTGATGAATGCAATAAATTACACAAAAGGGGCCATTTTTCTCTATGATACATACACTTGAAGACACTGAAAATTCAAAGAGAACACTGCAGCTGGCTGCAGTAGAACAGGACTACCAGCAGAAGATGACCCAAGATCTGAAGTTATACCATTCCACCTTTGTAAATAAATACGTCATTTGTACCAGCCAAACTAACATTCCATATATATATCTATCTTTCGGCTAGAGAGGAACGTCATGATAAGCTCTGTGTAGTACTGTATATTTATGACTTACAATGAATTCATCTGTTGCTCTGGGTAGAAAGCACACATATCCTGGGGTCTGTGGAGAAAGCAGAAGCTCATCACTTTTGCCCTTTGAGCCATAAATTACAAGGGTCCTTTTACACTCTTGTGGCTCTGGGGAATCTCCATCTGTCTTAACCTGCACTCTCCACTGTTGTGCTAAACAAAATAAAGACGACACATTTTTAGTATCAATGGCAGAGAGTAATGGATGTTTTTATTATTATTACAACAAAGAATTTAAAGATTACTATGAACTTATATCACATTTTATAAAAATATACAAATAGACATTCCTTCTCTTGAAGATAATTATAACTTAAATAAGACTCGATAAACATAAGACAACTGTTGAAGTGTGTATGCAAGCAGAAATTAACACCAAGGAAGCAGGAAAAGGAATATTTGGCTAGGTGTTTGCATTCTTTATAACAAAATAGTTGCTTTAATTGCAGTAATTAATTTATTAGATTTCCATTCTTAAAGTGTTCATATGTAACATGAAAAAGAAAACTAATACTTTGAAAGACTTGGATATGATCCATTTGTAAGAACTGCTGGCTGATACATAACTAGTTAAACAATGAAACTTAAACCTATTTTCTCAGATTTTTCTAACCTATTTGTCAAGTTCAGTCTGCTCCTTTGTCAGATCAGATCATTCATTAGTGCTGAATCCAAAATTTAGGGAATTCCAAAGAAGTGTTTGCACTGACCTCAGCTCACGGCTTGGGCCTTTCAGAGATTCTTTTTGGTAGGTGACCTGTACTCATAACAATGTTTGAAGTCCAGAATGCAACCAAGAAGCTTCAGAAAACCATTCCAGGTGTGGAAAAAATACTGTCTCTCAGATGGATGGTATAGATTAGAAAGTTACTTAACTGCTTGAATGTGAATCTTCCCCTGAATTCAAATGAATTATTTGTAGAAAAGACACTTGATCCTGCATGGCAAAGGGAACTTAACAGGGCAAGGAAATCAAAAGCCTATGTTTAGACTGTGACCAGTACTGTGGCAATATGATAATTTGCTAATGGGATTAATATAAAGGAGAACTATTTTGTGATTGTGTGTAAGCCTACAATGCAATCTCCTGACAAAATGAATTTTAGAATAGCTTAAATCAGAAATAAATTGGATGTGATTCTTTTTCTTACAGTACTGTGTATTTTTTTCATACCTTTTGTTTTCCTCCACCTGCCTGGAGATGGAGATTGGGTGAAAACCTGATCTGGTTTTCTTGATTTATGATTTTCCCCCTGTTTTTCACATTGTTTTCTGTAGTTAATTCTGGTTTCCCCCTTGTTATAGTAGCTTTTTCTGCGTTACATCTGACTGTTCCCTGACTCTTCTGGGCTTAGCTACAAAACAGCAGGCAAATACACATCTCACAGTCAGTCTGTTGAGTAACACACTAGCTGAAAGGATCCTTCCATCTGAACTCTTTTTTGAGGTCATTTCCAGGAATGAGTCAGATGTAGTACGTGGAAGATCCACACTTTGCCTAATGAGGAACTTTTGTTGTTTTTATACATGTGCCAGCCTTGAATTTTATCTCCTTGTGCCAGGTTGGCATGTGGTACCCTTCAGGGTGTCACACTTGGTGAAGTCAAGCATCGTTTGAGCTTCTGCTGTTGCTGAGCACTCCGAGGGTTTATGAGCAGATTCAAATTTTTTACAAAGACTCCCAACATAGCCCTGAACCTCTTATCCTCTCCAACCATGCCCCATTTTGAAGGCTGTTCCAGGAACACAGCAGAGGGGAAATTAAGATAATTTTGGATTACTGTGTTTCCCAGGTGAGCTTTTTTTTTCTCTCTTTAATATCCCTCTGCTTCAGGAGAGAGCAAGCCCCAAGTTAAGAGAAAGCACGGATGCATAACTGCCTGTTCCTTGCTCAAAGAGGCAGCATGTTTAGAGAAGGTATTTCAGGCAAGGTGATTTATTTTAATTAATATCCATGATTGTGTTTTTAATTATTATTTCAGAAGAAAGGCTAAGACACTGGTTGGGAGTTTTCCAGGAAATAAATCAGTGGTTGATAGATTTAAGGCCTCTTAGCATCTGTGACTATTTGTTCTCCTACATTTACTTTTAATGCTTCTACAATTTGGTAACTGGGCTAACCCAGACTGACTGCATTTTCTGTCAGTTCAGCAAATTCATTTAACCTGCTCATGCCAGAATAAGAAAAAAATGTTTTGTCTAATATTATATTCACTTAGACAGCTACTTGGTAAGGATGGGTACACCAGACAGGAGACTGATGCCAAATACCTATTGTGTTCAGTGATTTCTACATCTCTTTTCAAGATATTCTGAAGTCCTCAGTAAGTTCTGAAAATCAGATAGCTGAGCTTGAGTAGGTCGTCTTCTGTGTTTCATATGCGTGGCCACATTAAAAAACAAGACTTTTCCCCTGATACTACTGAACTGCCTTAGCTTCCTTTCAGAGTGACTAGCGTGTCAGTATATCATTGTACTTTTAGCTGATGTATAAAGTTATAGCCGTTTTCTTTGAGACATCAGTATGATGACGGCTAAAATGAATGGTGGGGGAAAAACCATTTTTCTGTGAAAAAAAGTCAGAATTCTTTCTTTTCTACAATAATGTAACCAAGGATCTGATTTCACATTACAGGGGTGTATCCAGAGATATGTTAGAAGCAGAGGCCCTTTTCCTTCCAGAAAGTCTTTTAACCACTAGTTTGGAACCTGAAAGATGCTTGCAGCAAAACTGTGAAAATCAAACCTGCAATGACTTCTGCACATAGCAAACTAGGCAAGGTAAAACATAAAGTCAATATTTTGTAATGTAATTCAGAAAACTGAAAAAGGAAGGCTTTTTTTCTGTTTTTAAAATTTGAACAATTTGTATGTTTTTAGAGGATTGCCACCACTGTTTTTACAATACATTATTCCAGTTTTTTTACTCTGGTGGTTTTTGGTCTTAAAACCTCAAATGGCCTTCACACTTTGCTAGATGTAGGAGCAGGTTGCTTACTTCCCAGAGTTTGTAGAAATTTGTGTTGCCTTGAGGCAGAGCAGTCAGTCTGCTTATTTTATTTTCGTAGGAAATTCAGCCTCCACCTGGCAATATATACTGTCATTGCTTTTTAGAAGCAGGACCAATCCATTTACAATTTGGGAATTCTGTGATTATTCTTACCCCATTAGCAAATACTGGCAAGGTAAGGAATAATTGAAAAACAAAGGAAATCATGGGAGAAATTACTGCATATTTTCTCTTTTCCTATGAATTTTCTATATGCCTTAATACCAACAACCTTGCACGACACAAGAAGAGCCAGCCTAGAAATATCTATTAACTGAACTCCGTTGAACCATATTTTATGCACCGCCCACAAAAGCCCACAATCCCACAGAGCACCCTACAGGAACCACTGATCAGGAACCCAGCTCCTTTTAACTGACTGCAGTGTGGGCAACATTGGAATATACTATGTCTTGTCTCCTTGCTTTGAGAGAAAGTCTTTTACTATGTGCTATTACGATACTCCACCTATTTTGAGGCAGAAAAGGAAAAGAGTAAACAGAAGGAGGAAGTAGTAAAATTTCCCCGTAACGTAGGAAACATTTAGAGAGCGATGTAAAGGCCCATTCTCCGTCAACACGACTTCATCATTTGAGAGCTGAGAGCAGCTATCCACCTTCCCTACCAAGTCAATCCCTTTTGTCTTTTTCTCTTGCATCAAACATACAAGGCGGAATCAAGAGAATACAAATAAATCTGTTCCTGTGTTTGATTTGCCAGAGCCTCTCCGTAATCTGCAGGTGTACAAAGGTTGCTGGGAAAACTTGATATGGGCATACTGCATTTTGACAGAATCCATAGCCAGCAGCAGCATTCATAGGGATCTGGGATTTATGCTCCATTAAAGCTCTTATAATGCCAGCCTGGATAAAGAAGGACTGAGAACCCTCAAGTAACCTGCTAAGCGATCATGACTTTCAAACTCTTTTTGTTTGGCTAGGTGGTTGAACATCTTACTAGCTTTATCCAAAGAGAACAAGATTTCTGACCTTCGGAGTGACTTACTGTTTTGTTTTGTAACCTTTGTTATAGGCCTTACCTAAGGACATTGATCTTATTCTGAAAATCACCAAACACCACTGAATTATGCCGATCAACTTTTTATGACTTTCCCTGAAGCCCACTTGCAGAGTGCAGCTTGTATAGAATATGAACACATGAACACATAAAACGTTGGCTCCCTAACGTCAGCACTGCTGCTTGCCTCTTATTCAGTAAATGTATACTATATGGAAAGTTTTCACTTCCACTGTAAGTGGGACTGCTTATTGGTACTATCTGCTCTACCATGTGAAATCCTCACTGCTACAGCTGCTGGGAGAATTTAAGGCAATTATTACTTTTTCTTCCAAGACTCTGCATCTCTGGAATTTTCTCTTATCAGCTCTAACCCTGATACTGTGTCATGATGGGTTGACACAGAACCGAGTACAAGACACCTTTCCAAACCTCTTGTGATTGTTACCCTCCTATAAAGCTCAATCTTTTCACATGTAAGGTCTATGAGGTAACCAGTACAACAACACAAATTAAACTGTGAACAATCTTGGGATCAGTCCTGCTTGTCGTCTTTTTTACATAAGGCATAAAAGCACAATCTCTCACCTATCTCAGTTCCTCACTGGAATGTGCCCCTGGCTAAAGAAAAGATGGCTAGAGAGCAATTCAAGCTAAGATGATGCATAGTTAATTGGCAGAATAGTTCCTAAAAATGTTCTTCTCCTTTATATCTTCATTATTCAGAACGTCTGATCTCAACCTAAAAAATCAGCACACACTCTTCAGGTCCTCCTGGACATCTTGACAGTGTGACGTTTCACAAGCTGATTAAGAATAAGCCACTCCTTTCTCCCCATAATCAATATATGGTGTCTAACTGCTCTTGACACGCTCGGGCTCTCAGCAATCTGTGCATCTGTGCCCTCTTATTATAGCACAATAAAGAATGAAGCTGCACTGGAAAAAACTTAGATTAGTAGTAAAATATAATCTATTTTCGGAACATAAGGTGAAATAGATATTTTGGCTGCCTCTCTGAACTGTGCACTTAGCAGAATGCAGAATCCAGTTCCAAGTCACTCTTGCGAAAATCAAATTTCTCTGTGGGAAAGCCTTTACTTACCTGAGTTAATCAGTCTCCTCTTGTCAAAGTTATGTTGCCATGGAACAATAAAGCTGTTGGCTAAACTGTTTGATTGAATGCAAATGATTTAATTTTCACTGAAACTGGAATTAGATTGAGAGATCGGGACTCCTCTTACAGAAGGCAAGACACACTTTCCAGAGCCAAATGCAAACATTGCTTTTTTACTTTAGTTTCTGCCATACAGTTCCCAGACACAGTTACACAGAATACACATTTACAGTTAAATGTTCATAACAATACTTGTGTCAGTCTGTTTCTCTTTTCTGGTTAGGGAGAAACACAGAGATGGTATCTCAAATTTTAAATACTTGGGAGGTACTAGTGTATTACAGTGATGGGGCTGTATTGTAGGTATAAAAATAGGCAGCTGGGTGGGTAGATTTTATTAAAAAATTTTTACTAATTCAAGCAGATTTAGTCAACTGAATGCATATACCACATTTAGCTTCACTAATGGATCTGGAGTTTAAACCTGCATTATTTCTGGCTCCTTCAGGAATACCCTGATGGATTTTGACCTGAAAATGCTTCCACTGACACTTCACAACACATTTTTCAACTTGATGATGTTTGCTGGGGGACCTGTCCCCATGTATTAAATGACAGTGACATTGGGATAAACAAAACAACACTTGAATCTCTTCTCAGAGGAATTCCTGGCTGATTTCAGGACAGAAAGCAGAAATACGAAGAAAATCAGAAATGGTTTATGAGCAGCATGTTTTTCTCAATTACTTATAAAGGCCTAGTCCTTTCTGTAGATCACTGTCAACCAATTTGTCTTCATTTTGTCTCACAGTTGGTAGTTTATATATACGATGAGGTCACTTGCTCACGTTTGCAGATTAAATTCAAACAGCAAAAACAATGGTGTAGAAAACAACTCTTACCTTTAAGGAATGCCTTCTTTAAATTGCCATTCTCTAAAACATGAACAGAAGAAAAGATATGTGAACAAGCTTTATTATCACTTTTCTTCTTAAGTTACATCTTATTCAGAAGGATTCTTCAGTAATAACTAGGCATTAATTATATACTATATTGTTATAACATGAATTTTCTTTAACAAAATACTTACTATTGGCAGTTAGCTCCCTCTCAGTTTTCCCATCATCTTGATATTCATCTAACCATCTTTCATTGCAAAAACAAAAATAATAAGATTAGTAACAATTAACAGTATATTACAAGTAATCTGACAATTACCTTCTCTCTCCAACAGTATATTTTTTTATACTTTTTTATCAAATTATGCCTTGAAACTACTTCCTAAGTCGAATTTTCTTTTATACATTCATCATAGTTGGCCTTATTCATATTAGGAGAATTTGGCTTACTCTGCTCCAGGCAAATAGGAATTTTCATGGTAGCTATATGAAGTACTATAGTACTATATGAAGTACATTATATGAAACACTAAGTATTTACAGGATCAGAGACTCAACTGTACATTTGGAGGGGTTATATAACCTGCAGTAGTTAGTTATAGTCATTGTACTTAAAATGATATATAACCCCTGCAGGTCTGGAAGTTGCTAAACCTTCTATAGATCTGCAGCAATGAACTGAACTTCTCTTTTTATTTGCCTTTTCTTTTATACTGATGACTTTAAGGATCTTTCCTGCAATATCATTTCACTACAAACACACATCCATACTCCTTCAGTTGATCTGCCTTGCTGATATAATAACACTTTGCAGCCTTTAAGAATCTCACTTATTTAAAAATAAATAAATACGTGCTCACTATCAACTTCTATTCTATTGGCTCCACATTGATATTGCATTTCTCTAAACCCAAGGGTACATAATATATTTCACTTCTTGTATATAACAGAACTCTGTGAATAAATCTCATATGCATAAAGCCTAAACTCCACTGTATTTCAACTATTGTTGCAATAAATAACTTGATTAATTTTTGTGAGCTATCTCCTCATTCCCTCCTAAGAAACAAAAGATCACTAGCAGTTTCTAAAAATAGAATGTAAACTTTGACACATTGCCAGCACACTGACACTGCAGGCTAACAATGACAGGACTCCTCTAGTTCTATATATAATGTCTCTAATCTTTTTCTAAGAGCTTAATAATTTTTTTTGACAAGGCAGTTTTATAGAGAGCCCAAGTGTCTTCATTAAGTATCCCTCTCTTTAGAGAAGCCTCATAAAATCTCCTTGTAATGAAAGAAACAATTGTCTCATTCATCTACTCTTCCAATAACCACCTTTAATGCACACCAAACCGATTAAAAAACCTAGTAGCCAAAAAGGAAAATGAAACCAAAAACCTGATCATTGGAATAATAGTTCTGAGAGGAGTAAATGGTTCTTAGCTAGTCATTTCCAGGAACCTTGCAAACTGAAACCTTGTTTTTTTGTAAACAGGTAGGATTCCTAGAGGAGGAGAGCTGTCTTTACTGAACCCCTAAAGATTTTCAAGACTTCAAGGCACAGTTCCCAAAATAACACAGAAACTATTTCAGCCATGTAACCCAAACTCATAAATTCCAGAAACCACATACTGCAGAATATAATTAGCTGGAACTAAACTACAATTCTTCAAATTATTTCTATTGTATTAAATATACTAATATAGAAATAACACACACAAATCCTTACTTTCATCTATTGGCTTATTTTATGTTTTTTTTCTGTTATAGCCATATGATTCCACGCAATGACTGCTAAAACTTCAGGTTGCAGTTGCCTCAGGTAATAAAAAAAATTAGAAAAATAGGTTGTTTAGCAATTGTTAGAACCAAGTCAAGCATTTTCCAATTTTGCCCATGGCAGCAAAATTTTAGACCCAGTAAGACAGACAAGTAGAGATTTACTAAATGAAAGGAAATATTGTAGCTATCCTTTACGATAAAAGTTAAAGGTCTTTCCAAAGATTTCCAGGATGTGTATAAGGTTTTCAGTGACTGAGAAAGAGAAACTGACCAAAATCAGTACAGCCAGATCTTTACACATAATATTTTTTAAAAGACTGAGAACTGAAAGCTTATTTATTTTGATATGGTCTCTGTATAATTTAGATAAAAGAAAGATCAATGCACCTTTTCTCCTATGCAACATTTGGTTTTGGGCATTAGGCTATGACTCCCTCCTGTACCAATACAGCACCTTTGTTCTTTCTCTTCAATGGCAAAATTTTGCATCCCTTGTATGTTGAAAAGTTTGGGTATTGTTCATATATCTAGGTTGTGTGCACATGCTTGTTCTGCAATTTCTCCTTAGGTTGCTGGCAGTGTAACAAATTCTTTTTATTCATGAATGGCATACCTATTACAATGAAATGCAACCTCCTGAGCTTCCTTTCCTTCTTTTTGTTTGATGACAATCTTATCCAGGAACCATCCGTTACCTGTGTTAAAATTACAAAAGTTTATCATGTGAAATAATGCATTTTTTTGGAATAATTTTAAAGAAAAAAGCCTAGATTATCTTTTTCCAGCAGAAACACAGGTCATATTAAGACAGATCTCAGCTAAATAGATAAGATATATTAACAGAATGAAAGCTTTATTATTCTGTGTACCTCTCTGAGGTACAATGTTAATTCTTCTCTGCCTTGCTCCGTTTTTATTTTAAGAGGGGTGGGATTTTTTTCCCTTGGAGACAAGTATATGCATACATCTGTGAACTGCATATTCACCATTCACATCCCAGCCTACGTCTTTTAATTCCTTGTGATCAGGCACAAGGATGTTGGGGCAAATATGTTTATGCAGTTAACTGAGATCTGTGTGAAAGCTGGAAATTTTGGTCCTTTGTGAGTGAACGTGTTATTGTGTATATAAGAGTATTAATTAACAAATCATTAAGACTACTGCTCTCATTTGCAAATGGAGTGGGGCTGCAGCCTTGGAGGGGCTTTGTATGTCTAGGTGCCAGTAACTGGGAAAACTGAGGATCCAAGGATCCAGGGCCAGCGACTAGATAGACTGAGTGTCTAAGGCCAGCTACTGGAGGCCTTATACATCCATACTGTATATATATTCTATATTTGCCATTGATGGACTGTCACGCTGATCAGCTGGAGAGGGTAACAGGATAAGGCCATTGGTGCTGTTTGTGTCTGTGTGAGTGCTGAGCTCCTGCCTGGGTTGATCTGCATGGTCGGTCATGTGTGTACATACCTGTGTTTTATAAACGTGTTTGTGTATGTGCCTACTGGGAACACATACTCAGCCTTGCTATTAGTGGGATCGGTGGGCATGGAACTATGCAGCCTCACTTCTGTCGGGCCACTGGATTCATCCTCTCCCTAACAGCAGTAACCACTGCCACATCCATACTGATCTCTTAGGTCACTTTCAATAATCATCCTAGTGACTGGTACAGTTCTCCTGCAAAGCCCTTTCCAAATATCCTGTTCTCACTGTGTCTGCGCCACTCACAACTTGTCATATTGCTTATGAGGTTTTGCCTGACTTGTACCATTATTTACCAGCACATTGTAGCAAAACAGTATGAGCGATGTTTCGGTCAGAAGCAGATAACCGTCCTATTTATTCTCATGCTCTGCCTCCCTGGCTGCATCTGAGTCAAGTCCCTAAAAGGCAGCAGTCTCTGTCCCATAGGGAGGGCTTGCCCAGGCAGTGCATGGAGCAGAATGGCATTTCCACTTCAAGGTTTCAGGCCCAGGGCACATTAGGACACTCTGCAAACTTCTTCTGTCACCCTCCGCTACCTCAGATGCTCTTTCTTGGAAGGAGCCTACTAGCCTGGCCAAGATTCACCAGCAATCAGGCAGGTCACTTCGAAACAAGCCAAAAAAGATGAAAGGCGCTGCTTATGTAAATGTACACTTATGTATGGAAGGTTTCTGTGGAGGAGATCTGTTTCAGCAGTTAAGACACATCTAGTGACTCACACCTGACCAATGCCAAAACCCTGGTGTCTAGGACAAAATTCCTTTTCTTTCCTCATTCACAGTGGCTGTGGAAGATCTATGCCCTGCAGTATAGAAGCCCCCAAAAAAGCATATGATCTATGATCCTTTCAAGACAGTCTCCAAATCAAGACTAAAGACCTTCTACCCTACCACTTGGGCAAGTGATATGATTAGGAAAAAGGGCAGCCCCACCTCTAAAGGAACCCTCTTTCCTCTCTCGCAACCCCCAAAAGACTGGGTCTCTAGGTGGCCTCTTTCCTGACTCACCATCCTTTTCCAGGTCTCAACCCCCCTGGTCACCTCAGGCCAGGATTATCTGGGGCTAGTTTTGGATACAGTTCAAAAAGTCTGTGAGATCTGTCTGTGCTAAGTACAATGAACAATCATCTTAATTACCGAGGCATAAATTTTGTTATACATAGAATTCAATCCATTGTCCTGTTTAGACAGTCCTCCAAAAACACAGGTTTTGAACTCCGTTGTCAAAGAACAGCTTAAGATAGCTGAGTCTGATTGCAGACCTGTAATGCTGATCCTGTGATATGGCTATGCTGCCTATTAAGGGAGAGATGAGGGAAGGGAGCATGGTATGGTGTCCTGGGGGACAGAGTGAAGGTAGGCTCCACCACACTGCCTTCTGTATTATGTCTTGGCCTACGAGGATGTGAAACTCTCAAATATACAATCATCTGTATTGCTGAAGGCAGCAAACTCTAGAGATCTACAAAGATACAAGAATCAAGTTTCCATCCCATACCAAGGCTGCACTAATAAACCTGCTTCTGTAATAGTCACAGGTCTTCTCAGAGCCTTAGTGCAGACAGTCAGCAAGACGGGTGTTGATTGAGGCCGTTTCAGAACAGAGTAGGGTAAAAGTGCTTTTCTCATCTAGTATCAGTGTGGCCCTGAACTGCTTTAAAAATCCTTCTCTTCATTTGGCTTCTTTATAGCCACTAATCTGCAAACATATTTGCAGTATTTACATCTTCAGTGCTTTTAAATGCTAGCTTTCTCTTCATTTAAATCATTCCAGAGCTGCACACCTCAAGGACCTGTATCAAAATTTTGTCTCATCACAAAATTACCTCTTTTTTTTCTGAAGAACCTACAAGATGAATGCAGCTCCACATTGACTTGCCCAGATTAAATAAATAACCGAATCTTCTCCCATTGCCCAAAGCAGCAAGGACATTATGCTATAGCTACTCAAAATTTGTTTGATAGTAAAGCAGGTGTTGAATATCTTTAATTCTATTCCGGCCAGTCTTCACTCTTTGTCTAATGAAGGATTGTTTTACCTGTTTGAGCAACTCTTTCATGATTTTTCTATATGCAAATAAATAGTGCTTTTTTATAAACAAACTTGAAAAGAAAGAGTGGAAAGACAGTATTTGACATTAAACTTCTGTCCTTTTTGTTGTCCATTACCACCGTTTTTCGCCATCCCATCACAGTGACCAGTCTGCGGGAAGACTTTTTATCACTGCAAGACCTTCTGTCACATTTTGTGTGAAAGATGCAATATAAATAAAGAACATTGTGTTTAAAAAGGACTTGAAAACAGATTGGTCTCTAGGAAGTTAAATCCTACCTGGACCAGCTCCATCATGGCTAATCAGAACTTTTTCCAAGTCTCCCAGTGAGACAGCCTTTATGCAGAAAATATCCATCTGTGGAACCATACAAAGAAAATTATAGGGGTCTTGGACACAGCTATTGCTTTGACCATAACAGTATAGAATAGTTTATTTTTTCTCCTTTTTTTTTTTTTTTCAAAATGAATATAGGTGTCTTATATTAGTCCTGGCCAGTCAGTGAGGATCTTTCAAAGCTTTCTAAGGTGAATAACACTTTAAAATTACTCCACAGAGACAGCACTTGATTGCTTTGGCATGACACAAGGATCAGTTGCAAAGAATTATTTGGTCATCTCTGTACTACATTTTCTAGCCCTATCTGCCTCACCAAGGCTGGAAAACATACTTGGGAATAAGGATTTAGAACTTGATTCTAAAATTCACAGTGATCTGTTCAGAACAAAAATGTTATTGTTACCATTTTATCTATATGTGCAATCTAAATAACCAAGACTACTCAAATTCTACTATGCAATGCTCTCAGTAAATGATTGATCCAGCAGATAAAAATTATTCATATGATGCAATTCTGTAAGTAATTTTTAATAAAGAAAATATGTGAGAAAGTGGCAAACTGCTTGAGTAAAACTTGTAAATAAAGAGATATTTACACTTACTGAAGAAACAGTTTGCTAGCCATAATTTACTCTTATTGATCAGAAGTAACATTGTTTTCACTTCACCTGTCCATGTCGAAATTTTACATTATTATTCTTAGATCTGTGGAGCTTCCTTTTGCCAGTATCTCCTCTTGTCCCAATGAGGTTGATAAAAACATTAGAATCTGTTTCAGCACCAAGTTTAGCACCCGTGTATACATGGACCTCATACACCAACACTAGAAGAAGAAAAAGCTTGAGATTATCCTTGTAGTTTGCACATGATTCAAAATCTTTCCCATCAAAATTTTGCCAGAAGACTGTACTGACTTTCAAGTTTGGAAGTAGCAACAGTTATCCATGCATTTGTCACTTCCAGGTTCAAATCTTGTAATTCTCTGCACAAAAATATGAAAATACCAAGCTTAAAAAAAACCACAGTATGTTGAGTATAGCTGTGCATTGCTCAGCAAAGCAGCCCGTCAAGCAAGTGTACTCTTGTGCTCCATTTTCTTCTCTCACTCCCTGTTGAGTACTCACAATTTTAGGATCTAATTTGCAAAGTCTTTCTTGACAAGTTATCTGGAGACCACCTAACTGTGCCTAGTCATTGTCTCAAACAATAGCTACATTTCACTGGTACCAAGGCATTTTCAACCTCCAGATTTGTGCAAAACAGAATTTTCTGGGTGGCTAACCTTCATTTCATCTTAAAAGGAGAACAGCAATCATGAATCCTAGGGTTTTTAGATTTTCACCTCACATACAACAGTGGGCAAGCGCATGAATGGGCTCCCTCATCTATAAAAAGCATACACTCTACTTGTTTTTGAAGGTTTCAACATTTGTCACTAGTGGATGCTAACACTTTTAAAAACAGCTCTCAGTTAAAATACACTTACAACTCTTTAATGCCTCTCCTCCTAGTCTAGACCAAAGTCTTACATACAAAAAATACACACTTATCTTCAAAGAATTCTGGAATATAATTCAGAGTAACTGCATTAACATATTTTGCATCACACTAATATTATCTTTATAATTATCCAGATATGCAGACTTCTTTAAAAAAAAAATATTTGCAGTAATCACATACTATTATATTTCATTTCAGTTTTTCTTATTACGACTTTTTAAAAAAGTTTTCCTGTTTACATCTTAATGGCAATTTTTCCATGCAGTGTTTCTATTCTAATCACAGCTGGCCATTTTTGCTGCTATGTAGTAGATCACAGAGGAGATTACTGTTTCACTAATGGGTAATTTTAATAGTTCTTGGGAGTGAAGAAAGGTAGCAGAAGCCCTAACAAACACAATTAAACACTACTTTTAAGAAGGAACTAAGATCAAAACAGAAAAATATAACAAAATGCTTGAAACTGGACAATATTCTACAAAAACTAATTAGAATACTATTACTCTTATACCACCAAATAGCTAGCAGAACCTGACATTTCCTTAAATTTTCTAATTCACTGGACCCCAAGGCAGCTTATAAAACTCAAACATCATATCATCCGCCATCACTGAAGAACAGCTATTTCTGATTCCCAGTGGAGAAGCTAAACAAGTAGTAATATAATACTGCAGATACTGAAGGGAAAAAAATAGCCCCACATATATAGAAAGATAGGAAGGAAATATTGATGGATAGACTGCATGCTTAACCAAATTAGAATATTTCTTTTAATCTGTTTAAAATTATCCTAAACTGGCAAAGACAGCGTCTCCAACTCTTTATCACTATTACAACTGTGACTCAAAATAGGAGTGGTGTCCCTTGATCAGTTTTATTGTTTTCTGTAACTCCAAGCATTCACTGCAGCTCTCACATCTATGTATTAGTGTGCCAACACTTAGTCTGTGACATAAAACTGATCTCAATAATACACACACATCTTCAAAAATTTGGCAGATCCTTATAAAAACTAGTTTCAAGGTTTTTAACATAAAAGCATCATGTTAAAACAAATGGTAGATATGGATGGCAAGTACAAAGATAAATGGATCTGATAATTAGCATAATCAAGCTATATATCCAAATGACATTTTATATCATAACTCTCAGTATAATCATAACTGTGTGCAGACTCACAACAGGAGAATATAAGACAAGCAAGAAACTGTTCAAAGGACAGAGGATAAGGGGTGACAGCAAACTGTGAAAGGAAACGTGCAACAAAGCGAGAGCCACACTGATCACGAAGGGGCAAATTCTTTCAGAGTGTGGAAGGAGAGAGGTCACATTTTCAAAAGAAAACCTAACAACTATATTCATCTGTGACCAGCCATTTGAATAATAGGGCTGGACTACCCGTGAAGCAAGGCACTGGGGATTAGTAAGAGCAGGGACATATCAACGTGAAGTCTTCTCCACGCTTTTACATTCTTATTTACATTCCCAGTTTTGAAAAAACAAAACATCTGCGGGAGCTAAGGAGAGGGTATAGACTGTTTATGTTATGACTGTTTATATACAAAGATTGGTATCTGTATTACTTACACCTACAAGTAATTTCCATGATCAAAACTGCAAAATTTAAGTAACTATAAGCACAATTTTAAAGCATATTCAAGGCTTTTTTTACAAAGCCCTTTAACAATAAACGATTAGAAGGAGAAAATACCAAGTTCTTTCATTTCTGGAGGGAGACCAAACCAAATGGATTAAGTACAGAACACAGCAGAACAGAACAAGAGATAATTATAATACAACACAAAGATATTAACAGATAAATAAATGACAGCTCCTTTTGTAGCACTGTGCAACTCTGTGGTAACCAGAGAGATGATAATGATCTAATCAAATACAGCTTTCTATTGCTACAAACCTAAATAAATCAGTCTGAAGTAGAAAACATGCACATGTTGAAATGTAAAGAACTGGAAAATATTTTCCATAGCTCCTTGTGTCTAAACATCTCTCACCATCTGGAAAACGTCAGGTCTGGCATTTATTTAGGCTACACAATCTACATTATTTATAAAGGAACCTTCCTAACAAAAAGACCGACCAGTCTTTAAATGCTTTAAATTTTTGTACAAATTAACAATACGGGCTGCTATATTAGGATAATAAATGGAATGTTCATTTCCCTTGAGTATATATTACAATGCATTTTATAGGAAACACACGAAAAACTAAGCAATGAAAATATTCTCCAAAACATGCTGTACATGCCTACTTAGAACACGCCATTATGGAGAAATGTTTGGACATTCAGATAAACATTCACTAAATAGATTGTGGAGGTTAAGCCTTTTCTGTACAAATGGAAACCTAGGCACAGACCAGCTTGGGTGGATGCAAATTTTTCCAACTTTGTCAAGCAGTTCCTCTAGATTGCAGAACAGCTACAAAAGGTGCTAGTGTTAATGGCTGCTCCTGAGCTACAGATTGCTTAAATGTAAGAACAAGAAGGATGATGCCACTCTGTAACAGATAAGACAAGGTCTATCAGTAGTTTGATGAGCACAGGGGACAGATACAACCAAATCTGGAGAACGAACCTACCGGTCAAATGTACTGCTGAGACAGCAAGAGTCACCATATTGTAGCTTTCTGTATATTGTTCACAAAACACAGTTTTTTGTGTATAGAGTAAAAAAAACCAAACCTACAAATATGTTCAGCCTCTGTGACTCTGGTTTAATTACCTTTGAGAAACTGACCTACTCTAAGGCCCCCACTGCTGCCACATCTGAAATAGAGACCTGCTTCACTGCAGTAAGAAAAAGCCATCCCAAAACTCTGAGAATTGGAACTCCATGGCCCGATCCTTTATTCTGTAGTAGCAATTTCATTTAACTATATGCTGATTTAGTGAAACTACACCAGCTGAAAACTGGGGTGACAAAGCAGAGAGGTAGGCCCATAGGCAAAAAAAAGGAAAGAAAAAGTTGAAAATTATATCACAAAACCAACCACTGAACAGAAGTCAGGGAATAATGTTTCAGCGTTATGAGGGACCTGTTAACTCACATCTAGCCATCCATCTAATGTGGGGCACATCAAAGTAATAGAAGAAACAACTTGAAAAATACAATAACTTTGATAAAGGATATAAGAGGATTAATTAATACAAAATAGCAGGAAAAAATCTCAGCTAGCACTCACTAAAAAAGAAAATGACCTTTCAGAAAATAAGTGATTGAAATCTTCAAATTGCTAACAGAGTAACTTTAGATAAGCTCTATAATCAAACAGAAAACTCTGGGACACGGATGCATGGATGAAACAGTTGAAAAAAAGGAGGTAACGTTTTTAGGCAGAGGTAGGGAGCTTCTAAAAGGCTCCATGAAAGACAGACATTAAAGCAGTATAATGACTATGTTAAAAAAAATGGCATATCAAAAGTATCAAAAATACTATAGGAGTCACTGAGCAGTCAAGTGTACAAGTACCAAATTTACACTTGCTCAGTCCATAAAAATGCTACTACTGCTACCCCTTGAGATGTTATCATGAGACTTCAGATGGTTTTTTGAGTCCCAACTCCAGCTTCTGGCATCTATTGATAACATGAGAACATGAACTACCTGGAATAAAGGGGAAGAGAGAAAGGAAGTTTTGTTTCTCTGGTTATGAAGAAAAGGTAACCTAAGGGCATACTAAGGGCAACACAATGCAAGTCAGAGAACCCTTTTTTCCAGACTTCTTATCCTGGGCACCTGAATCAGGGTTTCCAGTATAATAGGTTGGTATATTCCTGATCATTCACCAATGGTAAGAGTTAGTTTGGCCCCAATCTGCAAGCACAGTATATAATACTCATTTCCTTTGAAGATGTACAGAATTCAGTGACATGACATTTGCCCTTGGAAAATATAAACAGTAAGCAAGCATCACAGGTTGATTTGCATTAAAGACTACTTTAATATTTTGGTATGTTTTGGGAGAAGAAGAAAATAATCCTAATAGAATTAAGGAATAATTTATTGGTGAGAATAAGAAAATGAAGGTTTTCACTGCAGAAATATTGGTCTTTTTCTGCTGACTAAGTATAAACTACTGTCTCATTATCAGTTCTTTTCAAAGCAATTCTACTAAAAGAAAAGTAGAGTCATTGTTTTAGAATTCTAGTTAAGCGCAGATGAATTCAAGATAAATATACTTACTACTTATTACCCAAAGTACATTGAATAAGCTTCCTCCGCATTACAGCTACCTGAGCCTTATGACACTGGTGTGCCTACAACAGCACATTAGTTTGCATCAAGAAACTGAGCCCCCTGGTTG